GAAAGGCCACGCTCGGCTTGGGTGTCTGTAAGGGCTGTCTCTTATACACATCTAGATGTGTATAAGAGACAGCACACACACACACACAAGCACAAACATTAGCAAACAACGACAAGACACATTTCCTCTGTGATGGATCATTTCTGCCAATTGGCTCTGCTTTGTGTGCCTTTGAATGGTATCGTGGACTCAATAGTGCAACTGTTCGATGCCTCCATGTATGTATGTCAGGGATTTGAAAGAGCATCGGCGAAGGCTTCAGCAACAGATGGAGTCGCGAAGGAGAGCGGCTGTGAAAGAGATGATGAGGCAGAGGGCTGCGGAGGCTGCTGCTCAGACCTGAAGCTGGTTTTCGTCAGACTCAAACCAGCTTATGTACAGTTTCAGCGATTGGACTTAGGATCTTTAGTTACACAATGTCATCGCAGGGATTAGACAATGACCGACCCTGTGTGCTTTCTGTATACTCTCTCCCCAAGGTGCCTTATTTGCCAGATGTTGAATCGTGGATTGCAGACTGGCAGGAGGATGGGGGATGATGGTGTATAGCTGCCATGGAGCAGAACAATGCACCAAGGAAGCAGGAGGGTGGTGGAGGCATGAGGACGGCTATTGCAGATGGTGGGGACCGATCATGATGGGCCACAATGAATGTAGACTTAGCTTGGCTTGGAGTCGAGTGCGTGTTTGGTCGATACAGGTGGACCATTGATAAGCATGCTTAAAAGAGGTATCTACTGGTTTTGGACTGTGAGCTACTTCAACACACTGCCACGAGAGCCGTCCACTGCTCCACAGGTGGCGCACTGTATCTGTTGCCTCTGCATCCGTCTGAACCTCGCTCTGTTGCGAAGTGGCCTTCTGAATGTGTTTGGCATGGGCACTTCAGTTTATTTGCAATGCCGTTGTAATTGCTATGCGCAGTGGTGCTGGTAGCTATGCTGCTACAGAGATTTTTTTGTGCTCATGAAAATCTACTGCCCACAGGGAGGAGGGGGATGGGAAAACCCCTATGTGCAGTGGTGCTGGAAGCCAGGCTACTACAAAGGTTTGTGCCCATGACAATCTACTGGCGACAGGAAGCAGTTGGGGATTTGTCATTGCTATGGCGGATGGCTTTATTGGGGAGCGATTTGTGCCGTAGGGAATCTCCTTACCCCAGACAGTGACAGAGGCCAAAGGGAGATGTTGTCCTGGTTGTGCAACAGGTATTTGCGGAGGAGGGCTCAACGCCTGCTGACACTGGGTGTTTTTTTACTATTTCCTCCGGATTATTTTAATTTCAAGATGTGTCTGCATTCCTCCATGTCGTTTAAAATGGAAGGGCTCCGAAAAGGCTCTCCACGTGTCTGCAGTGCAGCTGAGGGCTCTAATGGCTATGATTTCCTTGGAAGGAAGGAAGAATGGGTGAAGCAAGGCCAAGTGTTACGTGCATTTGTTGAAGCTGCTGTGCTGGTATTGGTGTGCCAGTGGGCACTGTGTGTGGACCATCACCTCTGTGGGACACGGGTCTGAATAGGAGAGTCTGTTGGGGTGTTGGCTCCCAGGCGCCAGTGATGGATTGGTGAACCGCAGCTCTGTGCGCAATGGCATCCTTGTGTCCTCTTCGGCAAGGATTTATGGCACCTGGGCGCAGGGATCTTTGTCACGTCCGGTCCGTGAACCTTGGGGTTGTCGGTACCCTGTGTTTCTGCCTGCTCACTTCATCCTTTTTTCCGTCTCTCTATCCCTTATTGGTGGCATATCTTCCTCGTGCCATGCCATATCTTGGCGGGGGGTGTTATTGGCTGCTCTTTGTGAAATGGCGGATTGAGAATGCAGCCAAGGGTTGTGTTGATTGCGAGGGATTATCCTCTTATGAGGAGGGAGGGAAAGGGGATGAGTCCCTGTGGAGGGAGACCGAGGTGGTGCCAGAATAGAAGTGGAGCGGAGCGGGCTGCAACAGGATGGCCATCTGAAGTTTGCCATGCACAAAGCCATGCACTGCTCAGGTATTCTTTTTCGTGTGGTCTTACCTCTCTTTCTTTGGTTTCTCCACGCCTTTCTCCTTCGTGCTTGTTTTTCCGTCTGGAGACCGTTGCTTCCTTCGTTAGATGCACGCCTCTTTCTCGTGCCGGTTCTTGCTACCGTCTTCACCTGAATAGAACGCCCGGTAATTATGGCCGTATCTGGACTGAAAGTTGCATCACATACGGCTATAATGACCGGGCGTTCTATTCGGGTGAAGACAGTAGTCTTCCACAACTTCACTTCGTTTCTGTCTCGGTATTGCCCCTTTTCTTCCGTGGCGGTGGATCTGTGTTCCCTCTCGCCAGCTCTTGGCTACCGTCTTCCCCCGAATAGAACTCCCGGTCATTGTCGCTGCATCTGGAATGGAAGTTGCCCAAATGCAGGCATAATTACCGTACGGCGTACCTTCTATTCTCGGGAAGGTGGTACTACAACCGTCACGTACCATTGACCAGGTACAGAAGAGACTCGCGGTTTGCATTTGGTCCCCAATCAAATGTAAAAAAATTGTCACTGGGGACTCCTTTGAGTCCTTTCATTCGTCCGGTTGGGCCTTTTTCTTTTTTTTTTCTTTTCGTTTTATGCATGTCATCCTTGCCCAGGCAGGGGCCATGCTAATCTTCTCTGTATCGTAACTATCGTTCCAATTCTAACGGATGTCCCGAAGGACGGGTTGGGCCTTTTTCTACTCTTGTGCATCTTTCTCGATTTTATGCTTTCGTAAATCCGCGCAGTGTATCAAACATTTCAGAAGGGTGCACAAAGGCATGCAGGCGAAAAAACGTTTCCAATTTTCCAGGTTCTAGTTTAATACATTGGCTTTGGATGGTGGTTTCTAGTGGAGATCACCGGCTGCAATTGTCTGGGCAGCGCAGCTGCTGTCTGATGATCACCGGTGTGTGGCTGCATGTCAGTACAGTTGAGGGCTTGTGTATTTGTTTCAGGGTACTGCAGTGGTTTGCCCTGTCTCTATTCTCATACTCTTTTCAGTGACAATAAAAAAAGCAAACATGAAATTACACTGACTTGGCTATGAAAGGCCTACATTCCATACTTGCCAGCAGACGGTTCGGACGAGCGTCCGGTCCGGTCCGCTTTGCCGCGTGCAGCACTCTCCCCCTGGACCAGACGGACCCGGACCGGACCGGACAGGGCCTTTTTTTTGTTTTTGTTTTGGGGTGGGGCGAAACTGGTCGTCGGGCGCACATTCGTGCGCCGCGCGGGTCCGGTCCAGCGGTCTGCCGCACGTGCGGAACCGGCCGGACGGCGTCCGCTTGCAAGTATGCTACATCCCCTTCAGTGCAAGCTATGCCTGATTGACTTACGAGGTTAAGAGTAAAATGAAATCTTCTGGAGAGGTGGTTGTCAAATGGGAGGTCCATAACATATCAGCTTTTGAAATTTGAAAGCAATAGACAAACAAATGAGCGTTGAAAACAAAAATGATTAATCATGTATCTATCAGGGCTGGTCCCCGGATGGATTGGGGAACCCTAACCCAACCAGGAGCCTCCCCCGCTTGGACCGGCCCGGTAGGCTCCCGGTCCGGCCCATCGCATTTTGGCTGGGGGGAGTAGCGGGCGGGAAAGTGGCTGGGGAGGCTCATGCAGCCTTGCGGAGGCCGCCGCCGAAATTCTAAAATCGGGGCCAGTAGACCCCACATTCCAAGCGAAACGGTGCGGCTGACCTTGCCCACTGATCTTGCCAGATTGGCAGCCGGGATCCGTCGCGTTGTTTCACTTGCCATGCGGGGTGCACTGGCCAACTCCCGCATGCAGCACCGTGGACCCCTTCCACCCGCAGTCCGACCTCTGCACGATTGCTTCATGATTAGCGAGTGCTGCTGCAGGTGCGCTCCCCCCGTGCCAAGCTGCACCATCGCCTGAGTGCTGCTACAGGCAACACCCCGAAGCACCACCAAGCACGCCATCACCAACAAGCACGCCATCCCCCGCAGGACCACCGAAGGACCAAGTGTGGGAGGAAGAGTAAGTCTGCGCGTCTTCTTCTTCTTCTTCTTCTTCTTGAATTTCCACCGTCGATCTCTTTTCTCATCGCCCTTCCCTCCGGTTCAAACTGCCTCTATTGCCCTCTTCCTCTTCAGCACACCTCCTCCGGCCCCCCCATCGACCTCCATCGACGCCCATCGCCCCACCTCCTCGCCATCTCTCCTTCTTCTTCCTCCTCTTTTCTTCTTCTTCTTGTTCTTCTTCTTCTTCTTCTTCTTCGTCGTCTTCTTCTTCTTCTTTGTCTTCTTCTTCTTCTTCTTCCTCTCTTCTTCTTCGTTTTAATCTTCATCTTGTTTGTCTCCTCCTCTCCTTCGTTTTAATCTTCATCTTGTTTGTCTCCTCCTCTCCTTCGTTTTAATCTTCATCTTGTGTGTCTCCTCCTCACTCGCCGGTGTTACTGTTTTAGGCTAAACTTCGCTAAAGTTGCCGCTAAATTGGTTTTCCAGCGAGCCCCCGTCAACCGGACCGGCCCCGGGTTGGACCGGCATGGCTCAACCGACCTGGCCGGTTGCTGGCCCAGCCCTGGTGGTATCTATGTTTCTCATTGGTGGACATGTGTTGACTAACTTGACTTCCATTTATCAGTAAAATAATTTAAATTTTAAAATGAATAAATAAATGTCTAAGTCTTGAAACATTTGTCGGATTGCCTGGTAGAAATTGGAAGTTGTTGTCCTTCGGGACATCCGTTAAAATTGCAACGATACAGAGAAGGGTCAATTAGCAAATGGCCCCTGCGCAAGGATGACACGCATAAATCGAGAAATGGACCAATCTTTTGAAAAAAAAAGAAAAAAAAAAAAGAAAGAAATTGAAAGTTGACACGCTGCCGTTAAAAGTGCAGCGTTTCGAATGGAAATTCTTTTGGGGAAAGTGTGCTGATTCCAGGTCGCTCTGCCGTTGTGTTCTCCTTTGTGGTTCTTTTCTTTTCGGCTTCAGATTTGCTACTGTGGGTCGACACGGTGTCGGGTTTACTGGTAATGTAACTTATTCAAGCATCTGGTGGGAAAAATTCAAGAGGTTAACTTTTTTTTCGATAATAAAGAAAGAAGACGGAAAGATGGATCATCATTCCCAAATGGGACGAACAGCAGCTGTGTGTTCTGCGGTGACTGGTTCCATCAGGCCACATCCCCAGCCAGAGCTCCGAACTGCCTGTGACGCACCAGTGCGGACGGCAGGCACTCCTGCTGCAAACTTTGTCATGGCTTCCAAACATCCGGCCCGGCAAATCTTCAAGTGATTTCGCGAGGAGTCCTTGCGGCAAGCGGGAAGAAAAGGACGAGGACTACGGAGAAGCATGCAGTCATGGTAGCATTGGAGGACGTGCCTGCAGTGGTCGCAGTAGCGCAGGGCTTGTCTGCGTTGGCAAAGATGTGATGACGCAGATTGTGGAAGCCGTCGAGGTGGTGGCATTAGTGATGATGCGATGATGAGATGATGGAGGTTTTGGAAGCTATCGAGGTGGGGTAGAGAAAGAAAGGAGGGCCGGGGGGGGGGGGGGGGGGGGGGGGGGGGGGGGGGGGGGGGAAAGGGTGGCAGAGGGGGATGACGAGAACGGGGGACGAGGAGGAGGAGAAATGAGGGGCAGATGATCTTTTCACAGGAAGAAGGATAAGCAGGAATGAAATGTGTCTTGTGTGGCGATTGCACTGGCGAACATAAAAGGGACCTGCGCTGGGACCCCTGAAATGTGTTTTGTGCGGCCGTTTTCTCCTTTGTTTCAATTTACCCCATGTTAATAATGTGTCCCCTGATCATCTATCTCATTTGGGTTGAAAGGTCAAATGCATGTTTTGTTCTCCCTGGCAGTGGTGGTGTGGCAAGACAAGGCAAAATAGTGTGAATCAACCGCTGTCCTGTTGGCAAGTGGGTGGGTGGGTTCGTGTTTGGTCGGTTAGGCCCCCCTGTGCTGTGCCTAAGCTTGCGGCTGCTGCAGGTCACGTATTTACCAGTCTCTCCTCGACACCCCGCTCTCGAATACTCCACAGTGTCACCCCCCCCCCCCCCCCCCCCCCCCCCCCGCCCGCCCGCTAGCAACAACCCCTCCAGCGCTCCTGCCACCCACTGGCTGGCGTGTCTTAGTCGACCTCCGTCTACACAGTTTTGGTTTCGGGAATTTATTGCGAGTATAGACCGTTATGTAGCGCGGGCGATACATCGTGTTGTGCACGATCTCTGGGCGCAAGGACGAGGCTGTTCGCTCTGCCCAGTGACAGCAAATCTTCCGTGGAGAATTCATTATGCAGATGGAGGGCGATGGCAGCAGGGCTGCCAACACTTGGGATGTGGGGCAATAGAGTGGGAAGCGCGAAGACTGAGTCGGCAGCAGTGTGTGTGTCGAGGGGCGTGTGTGTGTGTGTGTGTGTGTGTGTGTGTGTGTGTGTGTGTGTGTGTGTGTGTGTGTGTGTGTGTTGGCCGGCGGGGGGGCGGAGGTGGGGAAGGACAAGTTTTTCATCTTCGAGCATCCAGTGATGGTTGGTTTGTGGGCTCACAGGCAATGAAAGGCCACGCTCGGCTTGGGTGTCTGTAAGGGAGTAGACTGTAGTCGTAGATAGGTATATCGATTTATATCTGGGTTGTCTCCTTAGAAGAGCTTACACAGGAATTTGGATTGGATCTCAGTTGAGTGAGAGGGTGTTGCATGCTTGGTGAAAGACACAGGGAAGATTGACCGAGGCATATCTGCCGAGGAAGGCAGGTTCGATGGGAGAATCGAAAGGAAGAGAGGCGAGGAAAGAATTTGGGAGGATAGTGGAGTGGAGAACACTGTCTGTGTGAGGTTGATGCATTGCGGTGTTGTTGAGCATTGCATGTCTTGTTTGTCACCCGCGCGAAGAGAGTTCGAAGTGAAGTGCACGATGGTGATTTTGGTTCCCCAATTTGATTGACATAAAAGTCTTAAAAGAAGCCGTGGTCTTTCCTTTCTTGCGTCTGCTTTTTTTCGTTCTTTTTCTCACTTGTCAGGCCCAAAGAAATGTGTCCAGAAACTACGCTGGGCTGGACGATTGATGTATAG